TACTAAATACCTTGGACTGTTCTACTTTCTGAAAAGGGGGTATTTGGGGGGGGGGACTTGTCGTTTTGTAGGACTATAACTTTCACACAGACTAAATAATATACACTGATTTGGCCTAAATTTATGAAGAAAGTTAATTTGTTTTGCAAAATTTTATAACAGAAACTAAGAAAAACGTTCTTTTTTTCATTTATACAGCAAAAAGAAAACCCCAGAGGTGATTAAATACCACTAAAAAAAAAGCTCTTATAAATTTCATTTGGATACAGAGTTGTGTGACTGAAAAAAAATGCCCTGGTCATGAAGAGCGCGCAAAACTTTCTGGAGGGCAAATGGTTAAACATGACCCTGCCCTCAGAATAGAGTGTACTGGGCAAGTCTTTGTAGTGGATCTTCTGCCGGCTACGTTGAGCCCTTTAAGACTGTTGGCGTGCAAGATGATGATGCATCACTATATATGTATGTTGGACTTAGTAGAAGAGGGGAACTCCTTTGAAGCAAATGAGTACAAAAAGGGACCAGTCCCAGATCTAGTGGCTGGGGGGACTAAGATGTATGCATTGATAACAGTCAGATATGAAAGTAAGAACGTCAGCACTCATATTACGGGACAGACTTCTGAGCTATATAGGGCTCTGCCCACGATGGCTTAGCAATTTGCACAGCAGCAGGTGTGAAGAGAGTCTACGATTCTAAGTTGTTAAGTGAATGCAACCTAATGGTGGCTCTGTTACCCTCTCACCAACTCCCTTCTTGACAGTCCTCTGATGGGGATAGGTTAAGTGCACAGTGGGGGCCCCCTTATTCTGCAGCAGAACGATGGCAGCAACAGGTGTGATGGTGATGTTCTCAGCAGCTCTGGGCAATAGTGTCCTGGATCACCACAACATCCTGGAATGATCCTCAAACCATTGATACTACAGCAGACTCTCTCTCCGCTTCTACCTCCTGGCTCTAAACTCTAGCAACGTCCAGCAAATGCAGCATACAAGCGCGTTCAGTGGGCACAGCATAACAAAGCACCTCCACACTCTTCCTGCTCTGGTTGAAGCGTTCCCCAACTGCCCTGGCTCTTTATTGGGCTTTCCTTTTTATATGATCCCTCCTGCTCTCACATGTACGTGGGTATTGTAGTTGCTGCCCAGGGGTGGTTATGGCTCCAAACTACACCTCCAGGCTGCTCCTGTGTAAGTAAGCCCTTAGCTGAACAAGGCCTAAATGACACCATCTTGTGGGTGAAAAAGAGTTCTGCAATCAGTAATATTACCAGTGTTACACGTGGATGATAGTGGGAAGGAATTGAAACTGTCTGTATTCACATCATTGTGTTGAGTAGGAAGCCATCAATGGGGCATTCACTGCAATTGCACTGTTTTGTACTTTTGCCAATAAAGAACATGGAGTGTCTCATGCTTGTTAAAAATAAAGATTTCCCATCCACACTTCTGCACTTCCACTTTAGCTTCCAGAAGGACACACCAGTGAAGGCTCCCTTTCTCCCTTTGATAAACATATGCCTGTAAGTTCTTTCATTGTGTTTGTCACAGTCATATATATATGTGTATAAAATACATTTAATTGGATATGTAGGTAGCTGTTTATAAGGAACATGTTCATTTTATGCATTTATAAAAGAGATGTATACAAGCATATTTTAATTTCAGTTTATGTAATTGTATTGCAGTTTTTCAGAACTATCCACAGAAGCAAATTCAGTTGTAGAATGAAACACAACACTGCTTCTGTAAGTTTTGATAGCTAGCTGTCGGCTAACTGGACAGCATACAAACACAGTAAGAATATAAATCTGTACAAACCATGTCCTCGGTGGGAATAAAACATAGGCAAAATTATTGCAAGACTAGAGAATTAAAGACTTTAACTGAACCTGTGGCCATGCTTTTAACATTCAAGTAGTTACATAAAACAGGCCCTCACTGGCCTCTGTAGCTGCAGGCACTGTGGTGTAATTTATCATCAAGGTTCACAGCATAAGCAATGTAATTGTTATTTTCTCAGTAGCTCAGCTTACCCTGCCCTCCCCCTCCCAATGTGTTTACATAAGGGATTAGAAGTATGAAAGGCTGCTGAACCACTGCTGGGAGGGAGAACAGGGTGACCTTAGAACAACTGTAATGACTTTATATCTTCTGTTGTGTGATGAAATGCTTCACAGTACCTGCAGCTACAGAGGTCAGTGAGGACTTGTTTTAAAAGTAGCTCACAAGAAAAGTTTACAATAGGTGATAGAAAAGGTCTTGCTATGATCTAGAGGGGGTTTTTAAACCCACCCCCACATTGAAAATACAGCAGAAAATCTTATACTGGAGTTGCTTATAAAGTCTTTTTTATCATTTTTCATAAATCTTTAATTTTGCATTTTAACAATACTGTACATAAATCCAGATAAGAGTCAGAAGGTATGCAAGCACAGAGCTCCCAGATGTACATATAGCAATATTGACAGCTGCATCCATAGGAACAAGAAGTGAATACGATAGCATATGCTGTTTCTGGGACCACTAATCAATCTTGGTTAAAAGCAGAAGTCAATCATTGGGCCGAAGAGATAAGATCAGAGGCCCCAACAGTCTTTTTCTTCTTGAACAATATTTGAACAAATATTTACTTTATCATATTTATATAGCACCTGCATATTAAATTATTAAGTGGTATTTGTACTACTTTACAGATAGAAAATGTACATCATTCCCTTGCTTGAGGTGATTGTAGCCATACTAGAGCACTGCATCAGAAACAATTAACTACTGTCCATGATACTTTTTTCATTTGCACTAAGGTCCAAAATTTTAAGGACAAGATTTCAGGGTGAGTCCCCCTTTTTCAAGTACTGGACCTTGAGGAAGAGGACATACCTCAAAAAGCATGTCCTGAAAATTTGGATGTTAGTGCAAATAGAAAAAAATCATCACGGGCAGTACTCCATCATCCCTTAAAATCTAATCAATTTACCTCACTCAATAGTGCAAGTTAAGTAGTTCGACAATAAACTTCCAGCATTTTTAAGAAGGAAAGCAGATCAGTCAGAGAAATTTGATGTGAACATTGACAATATACAAACCATGTGACAGGAATTGAACTTGCAACTTAGAATGTAAGATAGCTAACCAATAAGTCTTTGTGCTGCTTTTACCTGAACTACTATACTGCAACAAATTGCACTTTAATGAACTAAAAATTATGTACAGTTAAAGTGCCTTGAAAAAGTATTCATACCCCTTGAAATTTTCCACATTTTGTCATGTTACAACCAAAAACATAAATGTATTTTATTTGGGATTTTATGTGATAGACCAACACAAACTGGCACATAATTGTGAAGTGGAGGGAAAATGCTAAATGGTTTTCAACATTTTTTACAAATAAATATCTAAAAAGTGTGGTGTGCATTTGTATTCAGCTCCCGGAGTCAATACTTTGTAGAAACCAACTTTCGCTGCAATTACAGCTGCAAGTCTTTTTGGGGATGTCTCTACCAGCTTTGCACATCTAGAGAGTGACATTTTTGTCCATTCTTCTTTGCAAAATAGCTCAAGCTCTGTCAGATTGGATGGAGAGCGTCTGTGAACAGCAATTTTCAAGTCTTGCCACAGATTCTCAATTGGATTTAGGTCTGGACTTTGACTGGGCCATTCTAACACATGAATATGATTTGATCTAAACTATTCCATTGTAGCTCTGGCTGTGTGTTTAGGGTCGTTGTCCTGCTGGAAGGTGAACCTCCGCCCCAGTCTCAAGTATTTTGCAGACTTTTTCAGGTTTTCTTCTAAGATTGCCCTGTCATTTGGCTCCATCTTCCCATCAACTCTGACCAGCTTTCTTGCCCCTGTTGAAGAAAAGCATCCCCTCAATATATTGCTGCCACCACCATGTTTCACGGTGAGGATGGTGTGCTCAGGTTAATATGCAGTGTTAGTTTTCCAACACACATAGCCTTTTGCTTTTAGGCCAGAATGTTAAATTTTGGTCTCATCTGACCAGAGCACCTTCTTCTACATGTCTGCTGTATCCCCTACATGGCTTCTCGCAAACTGCCAATGGGACTTCATATGGTTTTTTTTTCAACAATGGCTTTCTTCTTGCCATTCTTCCATAAAGACCAGATTTGTGGACAGATTCTCCCACCTGAGCTATGGATCTCTGCAGCTCCACTAGAGTTACCATGAGCCTCTTGGCTGCTTCTCTGATTAATGACTCCTTGCCCAGCCTGTCAGTTTAGGTGGACGGCCATGTCTTGGTAGGTTTGCAGTTGTGCCATACTCTTTCCATTTTCGTATGATGGATTGAACAGTGCTCTGTGAGATGTTCAAAGCTTGGGATAGCTTTTTATAAGCTAACCCTGCTTTATCCCTGACCTGTCTGGTGTGTTCTTTGGCCTTCGTGATGCTGTTTGTTTACTAATGTTCTCTAACAAACCTCTGAGGGCTTCATAGAACAGCTGTATTTATACTGAGAATAAGTTACACACAGGTGGTCTCTATGTACTAATTAGGTGACATCTGAAGGCAATTGTTTCCACTAGATTTTAGTTAGGGGTAAAGAGGGCTGAATACAAATACACACCACACTTTTAAGATATTTATTTGTAAACATTTTTGAAAACCATTTATAATTTTCCTTCCATTTCACAATTGTATACCACTTTGTGCTGGTCTATCCCATTAAATCTCAATAAAATACATTTACGTTTTTGGTTCCAACATAACAAAATGTGGAAAATGATAAGGGGTATGAATACTTTTTCAATGCACTGTATATATGGGGTGAGTAAGTTGTGGCTTACATAAGCCTACAATGAATCTGGGCTTCCACTCCTTTTCATTTCCAACTGGTGACAGCTGGAGTTTCCTCTTTTCCCGTTCAGGACTTTCTGAAGCTGTTTTTAGGCAGCTCGCATACAATAGTGGAAAACTCAATGAATGCGAGTGCCATGATGATCAGTGCCCAGCAGTGCCACCCACCAGTGCGTAGCAGTGCCTCCCACCAGTGCCTATCAGTGCCGCCCATCAGTGCCCACAAGTGCCAACCATCAGTGCTGCCCAGCAGTTGTGCCCATGAGTGCCCATCAGTGCTGCCAGTCAGTGCTGTCAGTGAGTGCCACCAGTAAGTGCCATCAGTCAGTGTCGCACATCAGTGCCCATCAGTGCTGCATATCAGTGCCCATCAGTGCCGCCTATCAGTACCCATCATTGCTGCATATCAGTGCAGCATCAGCAGTGCCTGCTCATCAATTCCCACCAGTGCCGCCTCATCAGTGCTGCCTATCCATGCCACCTCATCAGTGCCCATCAGTGCTGCCTATCAGTGCCCATCAGTGCTGCCTGGCTTTGCAGCCTCATCAATGCACATCAGTAAATGAGAAAAATTACCTGTTTGCTAAATTTTATAATAGAAACATAGAAAAACATTTTTTCACATTTTTGCTAATTTTTTGTTTATAGTGCAAAAAATAAAATACCCAGTGGTGATTAATTACCACCAAAAGAAAGCTCGATGTGTGTGAAAAAAATGATAAAAATTTCATATGCGTAAAATGTTGCATGACCGCACAATTGTCATCCAAAGTGCAACAGCACGGAAAGCTGAAAATTGGCCTAGACACGATGGGGGTAAAAGTGCCCAGTAGGCAAGTGGTTAATCTAATGACAGCCCAATAGACACTAGTGTTCTTTGTTCACTCCCTGCAACGCCTCTGCTCTATCTTTCAGATGTTATTTCCAGGTTGTGACTCTTGGTACAAAAGTGAACAAGGAATACCAGTTCCCTGCATCTCTTTCTGCCCAGATCAGATAGGTTAGATCCAGCCCTGCTTCCCAACCCTTCAATGATTATACAAGGTTTTGGTCTTCCAAACGTGGGTATTATAGATATCTATCTTTATGTAAATGGAATTCAAGTATTTTAGGTGTAGAAGTAGGCAAGCTGAAACCTTGAAGCAGAAGTGTAATTTATAGATTTAATATCTGAACAGTTATAAATAGTTTGCTGGGAAATTCTACACTATATCTGTATTATTTTCAGAGACTCTAAAACATTTCCAGCAACAGGAAGCAATTAAAAAACCTGTCAAATACCTACCAGCCCAACTTCAATCATGATTACATTCTGCCAAAAAAAGCAAAAGATCCAGCGAGTGGGGACCTGTAGATAAGCCTTGAAGTTTGGTGGAAACGGCACAGTACACACAGGATTCTGAACAGATTCATCCATATGGCTCGATCATTAAGATACTAAACCAATTTACATGAGTGACAGAGCCACTTAATTAGCCTTTCTGCTAACGGAGCAGCTATGTACCGCAATAAACTGTTCCACTTGGAGAAACACGTATGCAGATTATTACAGCCTCACTTTATGGTTATGTTCAAGCACTAGTCCATGCTGTTGTACAATATTGCTTTTTTTTGTAATTTAATTAAAGCAGCCCTATCACGCATAATTGAATTAAAAAAAAAAGATCTCTATGCATGAGACAAAATTTTAGCTATTTACTTGCAACTATAATTTTTTTAAGAATGTCCTGTGTGGCTTAAAATGTAGTTTTTACATTGGGTTTAGCATACAAGAAACAAAAAATCTTGACTTTGAGATGAATCCATGTGTTCAGTTTGTCACATATCAGAGTTTTTGGACCTTCTGACTGGCTTTCACCACCAGTTTTACTTAAATGTGAATCTGAAAGCAGACCTTTTGCCATTTATGTTACTTTGCCATTCCCTTATTCTACTCTATTATACATTTGCTAAGGATTTTCACGTTTTGTGGCTTGTAAATAAGTAAACATTGCTCCTCTACCCTCCTATTTACTCACTTCTCATTAGTGAGTTAACTTCAGCCACCCGCAGCCTTCTGAAATATTCACATTGCAGAAGACTGTAGGTTGGCAGTGCCAAAGTATCACAAGATTTCATACCTGCATAGCTAACATCTATACAGGTGTGAAAGATCATGATCATTTAGCACTTATGGATCTGCAGTCTCCTGGAATGTGTGGCATGAATATTCTAGGAGGCTGTGGGTGGTTGAAGGTACGTTGGTCTCGCATAGGAAAGAAATGAGCAAATGGGAGGATAGAGGGACAAAATTAAACTATTTCCAGGTCAAAAACATAATATGCAATATAGAAAAGGGAGGAAATGGCCCAAGCTACAATGAATGGTGAAAGGTCCACTTTAATGCAGAGGCAGACCCAACAAGAATTGCCTTCAATCTCTCAAAGCAGAGGAAGGCAAGACAGATAGAGTGGGGGTGTTACTATGTGACTGGGTGATCAGAGCTGTTTTGGGACTGTGAGGAACCAGTCAAGGACCAGTCATCGTAAACAGAAGTGCTTAGACCAGTGGTCTCCAAACTGCGGCCCAGGGGCGGATGCAGCCCTTTGCTTGCCTTTAACCAGCCCTCACACTGATATAAGACACTATGCTTTCCACTGACATCAACAATAGGGCACTGCACTATTTCTCCTACTAATAACAAACAGGGGGAACTATTCCTCCCACTAATACTAAAGATGGGGCACTATTCCTCTCACTGACACCAAAGATGCGGCACTATTCCTCCTGCTGATGCCAGGAAAATTTCCACTGCCATTGGTCACAGTCTGGCCCCCTAAAGTCTTAATGACAGTAAAATGGTCCTTTGTTTAGAAAGTTGGGAGACACCCGGCTTAGATATACATTTAAATTGTAAAAAACACATACACAAGGGCGCAAACTCCTCGTGCATTACTACCTTATAATTTATTCAATCCTTAGACACAAATTAGAAACAATACTCACAAGTGGTTAAAAACAGCAAGCATCTAGATCTTGGCCATGGCAGTGGAAATTGAATGACTCTAATACAGAAGCTGGAGGTAGTGGAAGAAATATCTAAGGAATTTCAGCTTTTCTATACTACTAATGTTGGCACAGATAGTTTGCCGATGACAAAATGGGAAACGCACAAAGTCTCTACTAAGGGGATCCTAATCAAGCTGGGTGCCCATTTGCAGAGAAAAAGGGCTCAACAAATTACTGACCTTATGACTAAGATCCAGACATTGGAAACAGCCCATAAAAATCTCTTGCGGACAAGGTCCTATCAGAGCTCACGGTCTTGAGGGACCAACTGAGTTCTCTGGTCATGGATAAAGCCAAGGCGATCCTTTCTAAATATCACCGCTTTTTTTATGAACACGGAAAACAAATGTGGCAAGGTCTTGGCCCTCACTTTGAGGGCTCAAAAGACACGCACATTTATTCCAGAACTCATAGATGAGACACAAGGGAAGGTCCACACAACGGAGGACATTGCTAGTGTCTTCCAACGCTACTACGAATCACTTTATAACCTTTCAAAGGAGGTTGTGACACCTGAGAACTCCAAGAATACAAAGACTATCCAACAGTATCAGAAAGAATTGGGCCTTCCAAGCATCCTGAAAGAGACTGTGGTTTCCATGGAAACCCCTCTGTTGGCGGAGAAACTGGCGGTAGCCATGTCTCATATGAAAACTGGGAAAGCTCCAGGCCCGGACGGATACTCCTTGCTTTATTATAAAATGTGCAATCCCCTTCTCTCGCCACATTTTCTGGGTGCCTACAATGCAGTGGGTACGGGGGCAGTCTTCCTGATAGACACACTTCGGGCTCATATTTTGGTAATATCAAAGGAGGGCAAGGATCCACTCTATTTTCAAAACTACCGACCTCTTACCCTCCTGAACGTCGTCCTTAAATTATTGACCAAAATTCTAGTTCTACGACTGACAGAATCCATCCCAGCTTTGGTACATGTTGACCAAGTGGGCTTTGTCCCTACAAGGGAAGCAAGGGACAACACAACTAAGGCCATAACTTTAATCCATGTCGCCAAAACCCATAAAATACCTGTGTTACTTCTATCCCCTGATGCCGATAAGGCATTTGATCGGGTTAAATTGATCTTTCTGAAGGAGACATTGATACACACTGGGCTAGGGCAGCGGATGATGGGGTGGATGCAAGCCATCTACTCTCACCCCTCCACTCATGTGAAGGTGAATAGCCACCTATCTTCCTCTTTTGCGATCATCAATGGGGTTCGCCAGGGATGTCCCCTCTCTCCCTTGATATTCATTCTAACTCTTGAGACATCTCTACATATGGTGAGAAGAAACTCAAATATCCAGGGCATCTCTGTCGACCCCCTGTTGACCCCAAAAGTTGCCGCATATGCAGAATTGCATTGAATAGGATTCCCCTCTTCTGCCCCCCCCCCCCCCCCTTTTTATTTTTCCCCCCTCTCTCCCTCTTCTCTTTTTCTACTTCTTTTTCTGACTGCTTCTTATTGACGAAAAAAAAAACTAAAAGGTGCAGTGCGGGACACAGAGACTTCCCCTACCCTGAGACATCTGAACTAAGCAGAAGGGTGTCTTCCCTGCTTACGGAGGTGGACCTGTGAGCCCAACTACTCAGGAAGGTATGGGGTGTTGAATGACACTGTCTGTTTCTCATATACTATGTTGATTACATGTATGGCTCTCTGGAGCTGTAAAATACACACTTTATCTTTGATCTCTGTATTGTTGCCGTGTTCTGTTACTAAAATAAAGAATTTATGTAAGAAAAAAAAAACAGCATAAAGGAATGAATGTTTACATTTTTAATGATGCGTCCTATCAATATACCCTCTGGTCAGAAAGCTAACTCATTTTGGGAGTCGTGCTCCCTTCCTCAGAGCTGAACCAACCCGGTGTCCTGTCTGCCCTTAAATGACCAAGGACCTCCAGCAGCCCTCCCCTCTGTCCGTGGGCCTGCAGGTGGGGCCAGGAAATGCCACCCCCCCCCACCCCACATGTCTGAGACTCAAGAAACAAGAGAATAATCCTGATCATCCTGATCAAATAGGGAGGGAGGGGAGGTGAAGAAAGGAGAAGCATGGGAGCAAAATGGAACAGAGAGGGGGGGTCAGGGTTCACTGGTGGTCGTCGAAGGTGGAAAGAGATGACAAAATCATGACTCTAAGGTTAATATATTTTGTAACTCAGTCATGTAGGGTAGCATAAATTTTCCCATTGATCATGACGCGTGTTACGCGGTTTTTGACCAGTGAGAGTCACATCACCTGTAAACTGATGTTGGACACTGTAGGGGGTACATGGGATGGTACGTGGATCCAATGAATGTGTAAAACACTAACCATAAGGAATTACAAACATACAAACTGCAGATTAACTATAATTGCTACAGAATATCATGGTTTTATTAAGACATGACCCAAGCATTATTAATGTACGAGCTTTGGGTCATGTGAGATGAACCTGACCTTATAGCCATTACATCCCAAAGCTCTAGCAGCACCTGAATAACAGGGGATC